CAGAGTTCATAAACAGAGTAGCTCAATGCTCTGTTTCTTACTTGTCAGGAAATGAGACATTTGAGAAGCTTGGGATAGTTGGAAGTTCATCGAATCTAGTTATATACTTAACGACGGTTTTCAACATGAAGAGCATCACGGCGGCGACCGTCGTCAACATCTATGGCGGTACAAGCAACTTCGGCACCATAGTCGCCGCTTTCCTCTGTGACTCCTACTTCGGCCGCTACAAAACCCTATCTTTCGCCATGATCGCTTGCTTCCTGGTAAAACCAAAACCAAACTCATTATCACAATTTCTGATCTTGCTGTTTCTGTCTCAAAGTATGGATCTTTTGTTTTGTTTGATTCTAAAAGGGCTCGGTGGTGATGGATCTAACGGCTGTGATTCATCAGTTGCATCCAGCTAAATGCGCTAAGCAAATAGGAAGCGTGTGCAAGGGGCCATCCATCGGACAGACGATGTTTCTCGCCGGAGGAATGATTTTGCTTGTGATCGGAGCCGGTGGGATTAGGCCTTGCAATCTTCCTTTCGGTGCTGATCAATTCGATCCGAAGACGAAAGAAGGGAAACGAGGGATTGAGAGTTTCTTCAATTGGTATTTCTTCACCTTCACGTTTGCTCAGATGGTGTCTTTAACGCTCATCGTCTATGTTCAGTCAAATGTGAGCTGGAGTATCGGTTTAGCCATCCCAGCTATTCTAATGTTACTTGGCTGCATCATCTTCTTCGCTGGTTCTAAGCTATATGTCAAGATTAAAGCTAGTGGCAGTCCCATTCACAGCATAACATGCGTCTTCGTTGCCGCGGTCAAGAAGAGGCGGTTAAAGACAGTTGGATCTACGGGGCTTTACAACTACATCGACAAGGAGTTCAAGAACTCGAGACTGAGCCATACAGAGCAGTTCAGGTGCTAAAAAAGTGTGCCTTTTCTTTTAGTTTCTTGTGGAACAAATCAACAATGTTTTTAGGGTTTTCTTAATTTGAAGGTGTCTTGACAAAGCGGCAATCCAAACGCCAAATGACAAACTGAAAACAGACGGGTCGCCGGCAGATCCATGGAAACTATGCAGTATGCAGCAAGTGGAGGAAGTGAAATGCGTGATCCGCGTGCTTCCGGTTTGGCTCTCTGCTGCCTTATTCTATCTAGCATACATCCAACAAACGACCTACACAATCTTTCAGTCTCTTCAATCCGATAGACGCCTCGGTTCAGGAGGTTTCCAGATCCCAGCAGCGACTTATACCGTCTTCTTGATGCTTGGAATGACAATATTCATACCTATCTATGACCGTGTCCTTGTACCTTTCCTTAGAAAGTATACAGGCAGAGACGGCGGTATCACACAGCTACAGAGAGTTGGGGCAGGAATATTTCTATGCATCACAAGTATGATGGTGTCTGCAAGTGTAGAACAACGCAGAAGAACGGTAGCTCTCACAAGGCCAACGCTAGGGATTGCACCGAGAAAAGGCGCAATCTCTTCGATGTCCGGAATGTGGCTGATTCCTCAGCTAGTACTAATGGGTATCGGTGACGCCCTTGCTGGAGTTGGACAAATGGAGTTTTACTACAAACAGTTTCCAGAGAACATGAGAAGTTTCGCAGGTTCTCTGTATTATTGCGGAATTGGACTGGCGAGTTACCTCAGCAGCTTTTTGTTATCGGCGGTGCACGATACCACGGAGGGATTTTCGAGCGGAAATTGGCTTCCGGAAGATCTAAACAAGGGGAGATTGGAATACTTCTACTACTTGGTTGCTGGTATGATGACTCTGAACCTGGCTTATTTCTTGTTAGTCT